TAAGTGTCTGCCTTTGGCTCAGGTCATGATCCCAGGGTCATGGAATCGAGCCCTGCATTGGGGTTTCTGCTCAGCGGGTACTTGTGCTCGCTCTCTCTCCATCAATGAATAGATAAAATCTTAAAAAATAAAATAAAGAAGCCATCATTCCTCACTTTGGGTAAGACCAGACTTAACTATACCAACAGAATTGAATACAATACCTATTATAGTAAAAATCCAAACCTCTTTTAAAATTGCCATTTAGTGGCTAGACCTATTCATCCTATGATTTAGAAATGTCTGGCTCTCATTAAATCCTGAAATTTTCTCTTTTGCTCCCTTGTAACTGTTTCTCAAATATAGGACCTGAAGTTCTAAGATATCATTGTTCTTTAATGGAACATTATCACTCAGTAATTTTATTTATCCAAACACCATTCACAAACTTATATTGAACTGACAAAGTTTAGGAAAATATTATTTGGGGGAAGCACCCCTTTGGAAGGTAGTTTCTTCTTTATTGCAGTATTCAATTTTAATCATTTGTAAGGTCCTCATAAATACAGATTTTCTTCATGTTGTAAATAATAAATATATTTCTAACATGTTGACACATGGTTTTCATTTCTCTGAATAATGTACTACTTACTTGAATAATGTCATAGTGTTTTTTTTTTTAAAGATTTTATTTATTTATTTAAGAGAGAGAGAGAGAGAGAAACAGCATGAGGGGAGAGGGTCAGAGGGAGAAGCAGGCTCCCCGCTGAGCCGGGAGCCCGACGTGGGACTCGATCCCAGGACTCTGGGATCATGACCTGAGCCGAAGGCAGTCGCTTAACCAACTGAGCCACCCAGGCGCCCTGTCATAGTGTTTAAGAGCACAGATTCTAGAGCCAGACTGATTAAATTTGAATCCTGGCTCTACCACCCGGATCGCCTGTTGACTGAGCCCTATCCTTCAGCTTCTTCATCTGTAATAAAAAAGAATAATACTTCCCAAATCATAAGGTCCTTGTGGGAATTCAGTGAGATAGTGCCTGGTATATAGTAGTTACAATTTAAATGTTACTATTATTTTATGGGAAGTCTCCATCTACCATGTATTAAAGGTTCCAAAATAAATCTTATCTGTTCTTAAATGTTTAAATGTTATCTTTAGGGGTGCCTGGGTGGCTCAGTTGGTTGAGTGTCTGACTCTTGGATTTGGCTGAGGCCGTGATCTCGGGGTTGTGAGATCGAGCCCTGCGTTGAGCTCTGAGCTCACTGCTAAGTCTGCTTGTCCCTCTCTGTCCCCCTCTGCCCCTCTCTTCACGCACTCTCTCTCTCAAATAAATAAATAAAATCTTAAAAAAATGTTATCTTTAAGTCATTTGTCACTAAACCTAGGCGGTGATTGCCCACTTCACCAGAAATTTATCCAATCACTGGCTTGCCCAAGATGGTGGGAGACTGTCTTTACAAAATAATGACTGTTTCTCAAAGCCAGTTTAATTTTTTTGTTCCAACTCTATAAAACGTTATTCATGATTTTGGGGCTAAATCCGGCTTAAGGTTGTACAATAGATACCTAATTAAAAGCATGTGACCCTGTTGAACAAAAGGAAGGGGAAATATTCACATTCAATGATTTAGTCACTAAATAGTCACCGGTCATTGTCTTACCCTGAAGTAGCCTTGTATTTTCAGATAATGAGGTTTTCCACTTTACATAGACTTCAGCGTGTCACAACACAATCCCTGTTAAAATTTCTTTCTTCTCTCACCTTCTACAATTTGAAGATTATCACTGATTTTTTCAAAGGTTTCCAGTAACTCATTTGAATCACTTTTTATAATGTGAAAACGAGTTTTTCTTCTTTTTCCTTTAGCCAACCAAGGAGGAAATAAATTCTCTCCTACTGACTCCTCAATTCAGCCGCAGCACAGCCACATTGTATTTTCCTCATATACAAAGGCTCCAATTAGTGTGCAAAAGAAAATTTTAACAGACCCCTTCATCATCTACTCTTTCAGGCTGAACAGCCTGGTTTTGGCATTCTGCCACAGAGTCCTAATATTGTTTGTGATGCCAAATTGGAATACAAAGGAAAAAACAGTACAAAGTTGCTGTTCACCTCAGTCAACAGGCCACAACTAAGGCATTAGTTTACCCATAGAAATTCCATGCCTCAGAAATGCCTATTATGTAATTTACGAAGAGGAGGCAGAATTTTAAAATAATACTGAATTAGCAATGTGTTCAACATGGAAACAAATAGAGATAGATTAAGGAAAACTTAGCTCCCAATGGTAGGCTATGGGAAACTTAAATTCTTTTACCACGCCTATGGCCCAGCTTCATCTCTCCCTACTTCCAATATATAATTCTCTATTATTTTACCCACCACAGAAAGATTCCTAGTGCCAAGACCCCATACATAATTAGACTCGTTTAACAACTTTTAAAAACTTGAACAATAATAATTTCACCACCAGGGGGCAAAGAACAGTTTTACAGGCAAAGGTTATTTTTTAACATTCTAAAGAAATTACCTGCATGAACATAGTTTTTGTTACTGTTGTTAGGATTTCAGTAGCTTCAAATTAAGAGATATAGATTCTAACCGAAATTTATAAATTTGAGAAGAATTGTGCTTATAAAAGAGGATACGTTTACTATCATTTTTTATGGCAGAAATTTCTGCTTCCCCTTTCCCTCTCCTTTCATACACTTGCACATAAGGAAGAGAAATAGAAACTGAAATTTTGAAATATTGATCTAACCTTGTCTATGCTCACCTTTAAATTGTGTTTAGCGCATGCGATTTTTATTTATTTATTTATATTTGAGAGAGAGAGAGAGAGAGAGAGAGAGAGAGAGATTGTGTGAGCACAAGCGGGGGAGAGGGTGTGCAGAGGGAGAGGGAAAAGCAGGCTCTCCTCTGAGCAGGGAGCCCGAGGTGGGGCTCCATCCCAGGACCCTGGGATCAACCCAAGCCCAAGGCAGACTTTTAACCAACTGAGCCACCCAGGCGTCCCAGCACATGCTATCTTTTAACCAATGGTTTCCTAAGCATGTATTTTGGCTCTGCTTTTTTGTTAACTTAGTGTGATTAATGGTACTCAGGTTTTTACCTCCGTCTAAAATCAGGTTTATTGACTCTTATTTTAATACTTTGCCATTTGTTAATTTTATAACTGTGAAATGATATTAATAATTGACAAGCACATCAATTGAAATGATCTCTTTTGAGAACTTGGTATCACTGCACTTACTTGGTGAGTACCAAAGCTGTGGCTAACTAATAGACAATAACAAAATTACTGATACAGTAAATTATTGGTAAGAGGTGAAAAATGTGGCCCAATATGCATAAATCCTGTGTTCTGAAGTTTCAGGATATTTGATTATTTCTGACTTGCAATTTGGTAAAAATTGAGGTAATGGAAGCAAAACTGAGAGTTTTGAAATCAAGGTATCTGTGGTATGGGAAAAAAACCACATTTTATTTCTCTTGGCTTGTTTTCTCTGCCCTCTTCCTGCTCCTAAGTACCTGCTGAGACCACATTTCCCTGAATCAATTATAATGATGCCACTATTTCAAATTAGGCCTGGAGTAGAATGAAGACACCGCAGTGGTCTGGCAAGATCTGCTACTTTCCCTTCCCTCAGTTGCTCACCCTACACCTGGTCCTTATCTGCACTGTCAGCCCTTACCACCAGGGCTGTCTCCAGGCGGTACAGAATTGGACCAGACACCACCGTGGGTTCACCTAAAGAACATTTTTGTCCAGATGAAACCATGTTGAAATAAATACTGAAAGCAAACTGAAGGAGAAAGAGAAGTTGCAAAAACTCCGCATTAAGGGTCTATTTAGAGACACACTAAAGAATATTCTGTGACCCAGCCCTTTTATATTAGTGATCAAGGGACATTTGGAGATAAAGTGTTCTTTTTACTGTTGTCGATTTGCTTTTTTATTTTTAACTTGTTTTAGTGTGAATTGACAAAATCCACTCCTTCTTTCTCACTGAGTGTCCTCCAGCTGTGCCCAGCAACTAACTGCTCAAAGGTGAAGGTTTTCACTCTGATACATTACAACCTGCGTTAGGCACCTTGGTGCATCTCTTCAAACCCTCTCCAACTCACACTAACCTCAGCCAAGTGACCAGTCTCACACTGGCTTCAACCAGCCTCCCGTGGTTGTGTTCTGACAGCACCTGGCCTTGGGCCAAATTTTCTGATCTTTTTTTGTAATGGCAAGTGTTTGTCCATAGTATGCTATCTAGCACTTCCTAAAAATATTTTAAAACACATACAGAATCTCTTAAAGGTAAAATCAATACTTGAACAATGACCAAGAAAGGAGCTCAGACTACAAAAGAAGCATGGAAATGGGTGTTTGGAAATTTTCCCATCATTATACAAATATGATTTTTTTTCTTTTGCCAAAAATTATTTGTATCGCTAATTCAAATTATCTAAATTCTTAACAACTCATTTTAAATCTTCCAAATGAAAATTTTCAGTGGACTTAAAATCCATTTGTTAAAAATATAAAAACCCTTCACTTTTTGATTTGTTTGTAAGAACAATTATTTTGACATCAGCAAGGATAGAAAATTGCTAATCTAAATTTTAGCAAAAACCTTTGCATAATTGCTGAATGGAATTGCAAAACAAGTTATGACTTAGTAGCAGAACCAACTATATACTTCATTTTTGGGACTTATGTCTCTTTGTAAGGAATATGCTCACTTATGATATCCATTAAAATTAAGCATCTACATAAACTGAAATTAGAATCAGACCTTCATTTTATTGCAAAATGTTAAACCAGTTTTCAACACATTGTTGTACATTGTATTTCTCTCAATAAGTAGATAGTAATAATATTCTTCAGCTGGGGGGGGAATCTTGGTACAATACATACTTCATGATACAATAATTTGAAGGTTGATATTAAGGTTAGTTTATTAAAATGTTTTATCCATTGCTTAATTTTCTTTCAAGATACTTATTTTTTTTTCATGAGCTTTCCATTTTATTAGAAACGCATTCTAAGAACAGTCGAGAAGCCGTGCTTGTGGATGCGATGGGTCACATTACCGGTTCCACAAAGATCTTCCAGAGCTCCAGCTGCCGGATGCGCTCATAGACAAGAAGCTGTGGGAGGGAGGCCTCCATCCGCTCCACCGCGAAGCGCAGCCGGCCGGCAGCAAGCCCCTCCAGCCGCTGCAGCCAGGAGCGGAAGTGGTGGTAGGCTTCACACGTGACGTCCAGGGGTCTGAGCTTGAGGTTCAGCCTCTTCTCCACAGACAGAATGGCCGTGCAGGCGTTTTTCAGTTTGTGAACGAGGCGGGACAGCGTTTTAAACAGAGCGTCGGTTAGGTCATCATCGTAAACCACTTCGGCCGCGAGCAGGATGATGGTATGGCTGTACAGGTCGGAGACGTCCTCCTGCGACCAGCTGAAGGAGACCTCCGGATCTGTGCCCAGGCCGTCTTTGAGCCAGTCCAGTTCTTTGACCTTAACTACACCACCTCCTGCAGGAGTCCCCAGGTGGCCATTGAGGGCACTGTTTCGCTGGCACATGGCCAAGAGATCTGCACCGACATCTGTGCAGTAAACGGTACGCGCCACGATGGCTGCCATGATGCTGGCCAGCCCCGTGCCCGCCCCAAGCTCCAGCACCGTGCGTCCCTGGAAGAGGTCCCGTTGGAACAGGGTGTAGTCAGCCAGGAGCAGGGCACCCCGCCACACTTGCTTGCCAACATCCTCCAGGGGGGTGGCCATGGTGTGTTCTATTCTGATGATATCCTGGGGGATGCTCTCTCGTGCTTCGTCTGCCGGGGGGTCATCTTCCTCCTGCGTTAGAATCGTGGGATGTACCTTGTCTCTCGGAGGCCCCGCTGGCTCGGGGTCTGAAGCCGCCCGTGGCCTCCTCTCGACGTCCAGATCTCCGTCCTCGTCCAGCCGAGTTCCCACCCGCTCCTGGCTGGTGGCGTCACTCCTGCAGCCATTCCCCAGAGGGGGCTCTGGCACTGCCCGGCCCAGAGGGAGGCATTTCCTCTGCGGGACCCATGGCATGACGGCCACCCTCAACCCCTGAGTCTGTCTGAGAGTCTCGGTTCCACAGAAGCTTGAACTGGGACCGGAAAATGGGCTGCCCCATGCCATTCAGCCGCACCATGAGGTGCCTGTGGTTCGGGGTGTAGATTTGTACATCTGAGAGCTGAGTGTCACTTTTGAAGGTGACCTCATCCATAGCTGGGGTGGGGGCCAGCCACCATGGCCGGGTTCCTCGCGAATCATGAGACAGCAGCACCTGCCGCGGGCTGCAGGATGGAGTCCAGACGAGTCCTATTCATTCATTTTTGATTGAAAAGTCTCATGGCAAGGGGGGAAGAATGAAGGGGGGGAATCGGAGGGGGAGACGAACCGTGACAGACGATGGACTCTGAAAAACAAACTGAGGGTTCTAGTGGGGAGGAGGCTGGGAGGGTGGGTTAGCCCGATGATGGGTATTAAAGAGGGCGCGTTCTGCATGGAGCACTGGGTGTTATATGCAAACAATGAATCATGGAACACTACATCAAAAACTAATGATGTAATGTATGGTGATTAACATAACAATAAAAAATTATTAAAAAAAAGAAAGCACGTTCTGCATGGAGCACTGGGTGTTATACGCAAATAATGAATCATGGGACACTACATCAAAAACTAATGAGGTAATGTATGGTGATTAACATAACATAATAATAATAAAAAAGAAGTCTATTAAAAAAAAAGAAAAGTCTCATGACTTCCCATGATGCTTAGAATACATTTCTGGTTTTTAAAGTCCTTCATAATCTGGCCCGTGTGCAGCCTCACCTCATACTATCATCCTCCCTCTCACCACACGGGTCTTCCTTCAGAGCACACCAAGCTCATCCCCTCGTAGGGCCTTGCACTCCCCTTGCTCTTCTTCCAGATCTTCATATGGCTGTTTTCTTCCCTCCATTCAGTTCTGCACTGAAATTTGACCACCTCTGATAGACTTACCTCAATCTCCTAACCTAAAAAGGCATCCAGTTGACCTAAAAAGTGACCCAGTTGCTCTCTTTCAAATCACCACCCTATTTAATTTTCTGCCCAGCACTTAACCACTCTTAGTTGTTTCCTTGTTTATTCATTATTTGTTTATTATATGACTCCACTTACTAAAATACAGGCTCCTCGAGAGCAGAATTTGTCTCTCTTGTTCATTTCTCCAAAAAGCACATAGCCCATATTAGGCTTTCAATAAATATTGTTGAATTTTAAAAGAAAAATACCTTTCCTCTTCTAATGGTATTATGGATCAGATTCATAAGACAAAACAATTAAGTAAACTGGAAAATTGTCCATGTTCGAACCATAGAAGAGTATCCAGCTCTCAGGGTAAGCTGCCACTTGCATTACATGCCTCGTGTTTCATCTTGTGGAACCAAGTGGTTCATGGTGGAGGATGTGATGAATTGACCTACATGCTGTATCGATACAAATCATTGGTTGCATTATTTGCTTGTGTAACAAGTCTGAGGTAAGTGCCTCCTCAGGCATACCATTTGTAGTTACACTTACTCATTTTGATTACTATATAGTAAACTATCTGTGACATTTATTTTTTTTTAAGATTCATTTTTATTGATTTGAGAGAGAGAGAGCACAAGCAGGAAGGGCAGAGGGAGAAGGAGAGAGCATCAGATTCCTCACTGACCATGAAGCTCGATGTGGGCTTCTCTCTCAACCCTGAGATCATGACCTGAGCCGAAACCGAAACCAAGAGTCAGATGCTTAACCGGCTGAGCCACCCAGGTGCCCCTAAACTATACATGATTTTTAAAAACAAATCAGATTGTAATGTGGTGCCAAAATGATGACTATGTCCAAAAGTTCTTTGGTTACATAAAAATCCTCATTTACCTCTTGAATAAATGCAGCTGAGAGGTATGGTTTTACTTACGTTCTCCTCAGTTGCAGTAGGACATGCCACAGATAATTCAAATTTTTCAAGCTTTTTCCTGTAAGTTCTAAGCCATGTTTTCAACATGCAGAGCAACAGTATTTCCAGGAAGACTGAGATATGCAAATACTGCAGTAATTTTATCCACTTACTATAAAAGACTTTGAAACCCAACCAATGCTTTCATTTAGTACAGGACTGTATTTCACAGAAACATCACTGCTTTCATTTATATTCAAAGCAATGGGTGTTGATATTTTAGTTGATGTTACCCTTCATTAGCTTTTTCATTACCTATCTTTTCCATGTAGGGTCAGAGCGATGGTTAAGGCTTGTTTCATAATGTCTCAAGCTGTACACCTTTGACACAAAAACACAGTTTTAAGCACATGGGAATATTCTCGGTTCCAGAGAGAATAATGCTTGTTCACAATTAAAAAAAAAATTAAAGCCTTCACGGTAGTGTTGCCAGATTTATCAAATAAAAATACAAGATACCTAATTAGATTTGAATGTCAGACAAACAACAAATATTGCATGGGACATACTGAAACTAAAAAATTACCTCTTGTTTATCTGGCATTCAAATTTAATTGGGTATCTTATCTGGCAACCCTGGCCGGTTATTTATTTTTCTACTCTTTATAGAGACATTGGTTGAAATACACTCAGATGGCCTTCTAGGAAGTAGTGATGTGTTCATTACTTTCTTGTTGGCTATTTTAAAATGTCAGCTGTTTTCACATCAAAGTGGGAAAAGAGCTGAAAAAAACACATAAAATAAATGAAACATCAGTTCTCAAGATACTGGAAATGAGGCAATGAAGAATTTCATTATGTCAAACAATTAAAAGGCAAATATTGCCTAAGCATTTACCATATAGAAGGCGTTGTATTATGACATGCCACAATCACAAGAGAAGGAAAAATAAGAAAAAGACAAGCTCTCGGCCCTTGGAGAATTTATAATTTGATAAGGAAGATAATAAGGATACACATAAAAAGATGACAAACAGCGTAAAGCGGCAGATGGTAAGTGCCAAAGGAGTAATATAGACAAGAGGAGTCAGGACATCAGTTCCACCTGTGTCTTTGGCCTCAAAGGGAGAGAGGAAGAGAAAGGGAAAGTTTCACCAAGTGCTTTGTACTCACTGTCCTGTTTAAGCCTCCCACTATAGTCTGAATGTTTGTGTCCCCGCCAAATTCACATGCTGGAACCATCATGCCCATGTCACAGTGTTAAAAGATGAGGCTGTTCCACTCTGGGAAACAGTATGGAGGTTCTTCAAAAAGTTGAAAACAGAGCTACCATATGAACCAGCAATTTCACTACTGGGTATTTACCCTAAAGATACAAATGTAGGGATCCAAAGGGGTACGTGCACCCCGATGTTTATAGCAGCAATGTCCACAATAGCCAAACCGTGGAAAGAGCCAAGATGTCCATCGACAGATGAATGGATAAAGAAGATGTGGTATATATACACAATGGAATATTATGCAGCCATCAAAAGGAATGAGATCTTGCCATTTGCAATGATGTGGATGGAACTGGAGGGTATTATGCTGAGTGAAATAAGTCAATCAGAGAAAGACATGTATCATATGACCTCACTGATATGAGGAATTCTTAATCTCAGGAAACAAACTGAGGGTTGCTGGAGTGGTGGGGGGTGGGAGGGATGGGGTGTGGGTGATAGACATTGGGTAGGGTATGTGCTATGGTGAGCGCTGTGAAGTGTGCAAGACTGTTGAGTCACAGATTTGTACCTCTGAAACAAATAATACATTATATGTTAAAAAAAAAAGAAGATAGCAGGAGGGGAAGAATGAAGAGGGGGAAATCGGAGGGGGAGACGAACCATGAAAGACGATGGACCCTGAAAAACAAACTGAGGGTTCTAGAGGAGAGGGGGGTGGGAAGATATGTTAGCCTGGTGATGGGTATTGGGGAGGGCACATTCTGCATGGAGCACTGGGTGTTATATGCAAACAATGAATCATGGAACACTACATCAAAAACTAATGATGTAATGTATGGTGATTAAGAGAACATAAAAAAATAGAGAAAAAAAAGATGAGGCTGTTGGGAGGTGATTAAGTCATGAGGGCAAAGTCCTCATGGATGGGTTAGTGCTCTTATAAAAATGATCCCTGGCCCCTTCCATCATGTGAAGAACCAGTGAGAAGGTGCCAACTGTGGACCAGGAAGAGTGTCCTCACCAAAATATGACCATGCCAGGACCTCGATCTTGGACTTCCCAGACTCCAGAACTGTGAGCCATAAATTTCTCTTGTTTATAAGTCACCCAGTCTGTGGTATTTTGTTATAGCAGCCCAAATGGGCTAAGACACTTCCCACCTCTTTATGGCATAGATATTATTATCATCACCAGTTCCCAGCTGAAAAAGTGAGACCGAAGGGGTCTACATATGCTTATGGTTACACAGCTAGTAAGCAGCATATCCGCTTCCATCTCAGGTGCTCTTGACCCTTTTAACTGCCAGTACCACCTCTGAGAAGATGAGAGAGAAGCCTGGGACCTCTGCTGTTACATGGAAACCCTAGAGGTTTGAGTGGGATAGCAAGAATGAAAGAGCTGTTTGAGATAACAAGTGCTCCATGCATTACCCTAGACAGTGTGGATACAAATACTCACTCACATTGGACTACAGCGAGACTAATGAAAATGTGAAAGAGCAGAAACACTATGAAATCAAAACAAACTGAAATGAGTTGGTGGCTGTTTGCATGCAGGGAATGAGAGAGCAAGAGAGAAAAGGAAGAATCAAAGATAACTGCAAACCCAAGATGTCACTAACAAACAAACCAAAATCAGTTAAACTAATAAATGAATTCAGCAAAGTTGCAGGATATAAAATTATCACACAAAAATCACTTGTGTTTCTCTACAGTAACAATGAACAACCTGAAGAGGAAATTTCGAAAACAATTTCATTTTCTTTTTTTTAAGATTTAATTTATTTATTTGAGAGAGAGAGAGAACGAGAGAGAGAGATCATGAGCAGGGGGGAAGGGCAGGAGGAGAAGCGCACTCTCCGCCAAGCAGGGAGCCCAAAGCGGGACTAGATCCCAGGACCCTGGGATCGTGACCTGAGCTGAAGGCAGATGTTTAACCGACTGAGCCACCCAGGCACTCCAAAAACAATTTCATTTTCAATAGCATCAAAAAATAAAATATTTAGGATTAAGTTTAACTAAGCAGGCGAAAGATTTGTTCATTGAAACTACAAAACATTGCTAAAAGAAATTAAATAAGACATTAATAAATGGAAAGACATCCTGGCTTCATGAATCGGAAAACTTAATATTGTGAAGATGTCAATACTACCGGGTGGTCTACAGATTCAGTGCAATCCCTAACAACATACCAAGGTTTTGTATTTCTTTTTGTTTTTTTTTATTTATTTGAAAAAATTTTTTTAAGAATCCATCCTAAAATTAATATGGAATCTCAAGGGACTCCAAATAGACAAAACAGTCCTAAAAAAGAACAAAGCTGGAGGTCTCATACTTCCTGATTTCAAAACTTACTACAAATCTACAGCAGTTAAAACAACATGATAGTGGCATAAAGACAAATATACAGGCCAACAGAATGGAATAGAGAGCCCAGAAATGAACTTCCACAAATATAGTCAAATAATTTTTGACTAGAGTGGTAAAAACCATTTAATGGAGAATGAACCATCTTTTCAAAAATTAGTGCTGTGAAAACTGAATGTCCATAGGCAAAAGAATGAAGTTGGACCCTTACCTTACATCATACACGACATTAATTCAAAATGGATTAAAGATCTAAAGACCGGAAACCATAAAACTCCTAGAAGAAAATATAGGGAGAAATCTTTTTGACGCTGAATTTGGCAATGATTTATTGGATATGATACCAAAAGTACAGGCATTTTCTTCTTCTTTTTTTTTTCTTAACATATATTGCATTATAGCAGGAGGGGAAGAATGAAGGGGAGTAAATCGGAGGGGGACATGAACC